TACAAACAAACAACCCCCATCTTGCTTTTGCTTAAAGTTACCAATCTGTTGCTCCCATCAACTCACTGGCCCGACTGGGGAGGAGCGGAGGCGTCTCTCCATCTGGACCAACGCTCCGATCTTGACAAAACGAGACCCGGAGATTCATGAAAGATGTCCTATCTTTTATAGGATTTTTCTCCCATTCAAGTCTATACATTTTGCTGCATCAGTTCTTAATCAATCACCATTTTAACATCTGTTTATCTGGAAGTCATTCTTCTTTGCCAACTCACATCACTATGTTGATGCCTCCTTCCCAGTGGTATTTCAAGGCTGTCTTTTTATAAACGGGTGCTTGCTCTTGACACTCCAAGGCCATCCATAATATCCTTCATCAGTCTTGTATTGGGCCTCAATTTATGGCACCTTGATGCCTCTTCTCCAAACACCCACATTCCAAACTCATTCACTTCCCCTCCCCAGAAACTACACAATCATTTCCACACATGGCAAAAGGGATACAACTGTCCATAGAAAAGGTATTAATTGATTTTAATATAAAGAGAATAATAAAATATTCATCATATTTTCTTTATAGCACAATCTATATTCTAATTACTTCTAAGAGCAACAGTGTGATCATGCTGAATCACAAGAATCCTTCTGATCACACTCACACTCACACAATGGAATATTACAGAGCTTAAAAGGTTACAAAACCTACATTCACATTATACTGAAACTTGCATTGGGTGGAGGCTTTACACAACATTTCTGATTTCACATCATTAGGTGTCACCTACCATCCCACATTGGAACCTATACATAGTATCATTAAACAATTACAACCCATAATCAATGCGGACCACATCTGGAAAGAAATCTTCTTCAAACGCCCTTTTTCTGGTCTTTAAATAATTCCCTTATCTCCAAACTCATCCTCAGAAGCAAGGCCCCCACAGACCAACACAAAGCTTCAGCAGAGCCTGCCAGAACAACAGATAAAAAGCCTACAGATATATTTCCACTACTACGAAAATCAACAACCCCCACAATACAGCTTTCAATATCAATGGGTTCTATATGTGCCTATCCCAACATGTAGTATACCTCTCCAGTGCACCAAATGCCATATGGGTCAAATGAGCCAATCGCTGCGCTCTCAAATTAACTTATCAAGAAAAATGACAAATCACCAAAATACCTGTACCTCAGAACGTCAAATTCTAAATAGGACTGGAAGGGACCTCGAGTGGTCATCGAGTCCAGCCCCCCGCCCTCAAGGCAGGACCAAGCTCCACCTACACCATCCCTGACAGATGTCTGTCTAACCTGTTCTTAAATATCTCCAGAGAGGGAGATTCCACCACCTCCCTTGGCAATTTATTCCAATATTTGACCACCCTGACAGTTAGGAATTTTTTCCTAATGTCCAATCTAAACCTCCCCTGCTGCACTTTAAGCCCATTACTCCTTGTCCTGTCCTCAGAAACCAAGAGGAACAAATTTTCTCCTTCCTCCTTGTGACACCCTTTTAGATATTTGAAAACCGCTATCAGGATTCATATTCATCATTTATATAGGTAGCTGTAATATTTCATACAAAGCATGCCATGTAAGGTATAATACAGAAGATCACAATCTGCTGAAACCCACAGTTCTGTCAAAATGTGTGTATCATTTGTGAGTATAAAGTTATGACATTGTGCTGTTTCGTTGTTATTGAAATATGCTGTAAATCTGTTAACAGGATGAAAACCATCCCTGTCCACTTTGGTGTTTCCCACCCATTAATCAACTTTGTGCCTCTATTATGCAAGCCCCACACAATGGGAATGGCTTAGTCACTGTGACTTGAGCACTGGTTGAGCACTGTGACTCAGAAAAGGCCACCAGAACATGCCTGGGCTAGTTTCTGCTAGGAATGTTAAAATGTGTTTATTTATGTAACTGTGTAACTGCTGAAACGTTCAGTTATTACACATTTACACACAGTGCAGGGGGAGGTGGCTCCTGCAGAGCCACTACCTCTTCCCCACCGCTGCTACCTCTCTATCAGAGGCAGCAGCACAGTGGGGTAGGTGACTCCGCAGAGCCAGGACGCATGGGGAGCTGGCTTGAAAGTCAGCTCTCTGCATACACAGGCTTATGCCTCCCCCTACACTGCTGCCTCTGATACAGAGGCTACAGTGTGGCAGAGGAGATGGGGAAGGGACTGTGTATAACTGTGCATGTTAACCGATGAGGCGAGTTAACTGTGTGCACAGGTACATGCTTTTATTCCTAGTGTCAGCTGGGTACATGGGACAAAAGTCTAAAATAAGGAACAGGTGCAGGATGAGGGAGCCTTTCTTTCTCCTACCCACCTATGCTGGAAACAACCAGGATTCTGAGAATATGAAGATCAGAGGAAACTACTCCAAGCTTCAGGAGGGAAGTCTGGGTATTAAGAATTTTAGTATCTAGTGGGGGTGAGAACATTCCTTGAGCTAAATATTATCTAGTGTGATACAGTTTAAGATTTAGATTGTGCACTTAAATTTACTTTCTTTGCTATAATCTCTTTCCTTTTAGGCTTACCTCTTACAATCACTCAAAATCTATCATTCTGTAATAATAAATCTGTTTTATATTTTATAAAAAACAATGTATTTTGCTTTAAGTGCTTGGGAAACCTCTGCTTATTGTTCAAAAGCTGGTACATTTCCTCTCCACATTAAGGGAGGAACAGACTAGGTAATAAATTTATACTGATCAGGCTTCTGATCAGGGCAAGATATTATAGCTCTGGGGCCTAGGGCGGGGGGAAGCGGTATAGAGGAGGAGATTTGGCTGGTGCCTTTTTTGTGTAATTCATAAGAGGCTTTGCGTACCTTGATACAATTTAGCTGGGTGTGGAGCACCACCTACTGTTGTGATGAGTGGTAACAGCTTCCAGAGGAGTTTGCTGTTTATCACCACGGGTATGTCTATACTACAGAGAAGATTGAAGCTGCTGCCGTCAATCTTCCAGGGTTTGAATTAGTGGGTCTAACGAAGATATGCTAATTCGAACTCAGAGGGGCACTCCAGTCAATGCTGGTAGTCCTGCTTACACAAGGAGTAAGGGAAGTCAAAGGGACAGTGTAGACGGTGTCAAAAGTCGAGTTAAGGTACTTCTACTAAAGATATGCAACTTCAGCTACGTTAATTGTGTAGCTGAAGTTGCATATCTTATCCCATAGCATAGACATACCCTAACTTAACGTAGTTGGAGACAGCCCAGGCTGGAGAGTGTAGTCGTCACAGATAGTACTCCAGTTCTAGGTTGTACCCCAGGTATCCTGTCACAGTGGGATACCTCATTCAATGCACTACCCTGTCAGCTCTAAAACACAAAGGAAACCTGCACAATTCTTTCAAAAGATGAGCCTAAGAGTTTCAATTCATAACTTTGCTAGACACTAAAAAATCGTGGAGTCAAGAACAACACTGTATTTATGGATATTTACAATATCAGTAACCCACCCTTTGTCCTATGACTCAGAGGGGTTACGTCCCACTTCACTTTGAATGGTCTCTTGCAACAGGTGTTAATTCCTTATATTAAGTAATCTGTTCTGTCTTGTATTTAGCTGTGACACTCTAAGCAACATTCCCAGATGTGAAGATCTTTGTATAAGCATGAAAATAAGTCTCTCACCAACAGAAGCAGTTCCAATGAAAGACATTACCTCACTCAACCTGTCTCTGTGCATATAATAGGTTTTCCTGTCAAAACTTGCCATCATTGCTAGTATTGGTAGATAAAAAGGGAGCACTATTGAAGACAGTTCCTTCAGCAGCTGCTAGAAAACAGTTGTAGTTTCTTGCCATGATTCAACTTTTCTATCAATTGTCTTCCTAAATATAAGTTAGAAAATTATATTTAGATCTTAGAAAATCCTTAAAGAGTACCACCTTTTTTTCCTCTTCCATCTTAGCTGTTTTTTCTTGCTCATAATATTGCCTAAGTTGTTCATTCTGTTTTTCTTCCTCTTCTTTCTTCTTTTTTTCAGCCTCTTTTCGCCTTTCTTCAGTTAATCGAATTAGCTCTTCATTTTTTAATCTTTGCTGTAAAGGGAAAATTGTAGGTGAATAAAAACAAAAATTATTTTAAAGTCTTTATATTTTACTTGAGAAATTAAAATGATATCCGAGCAGCAAATATCAAAAGAAAAACAACATGGTCAAATTAACAAAGTTTTCAGTTTAGAACTTTAAGGCGTGGCTAATCAACTTGGGAAGCCTTGGGGGCCACAATGACACTCTCAGCTCATGCCGAGGGCTGCTATTTAAGTGTAGTTGCATATACATGAAAATATATGCAAATAGCTTCTTTCACACTGAAGGGCATGAATACAAAGATTAAGGCAAAACTACACAACACACAGGCTCCATTTAAGTCAGTTCTGCTACTGCTAATAAAATGCAATATTTACCCGATTTCCACCCATATGACAGCACTTTTAGGGTGCATCTACACTGCAGGGCTTAACTCTAAATAAGCTACATAAATTGAGCTACATCAATTGCATATCTTATTTTGAAATACGAAGCATCTACACAACACTTATTTCAAAATAGAGCACTCTTCCTCTGACTGCCCTTATTCCTCGTACAATGAGGGCTACAGGAGTCAGAGTGAGAAATCCTTCAGCTTGACAGTATTTGGACACTATTTCAAAATAACTGCCCAGACGGTCTGGGTGCTCTCTTTGGAAAAAGTGGCTCGCTTTTTCGAAAGAGGCTTTTTCGAAAGATTCTTTCGAAAAAGCCTCTTTCAAAAGAGGCTTGTAGTCTAGAGATGTACCCTGACAGTCCAGGAATTTAACTACTAAAATGCATATCAACAGAAGACCATTATATTGACTCACCATTGTAGAGCGTGTTCCCAGTGGAGGCCAAGCTCAAAGGATCCCACCCAGGGGCTGCATATTGAGACCTGTGTAAACCCAAACCGCACCACGGGCCACAGGGCGTAAGTGGCCCACGGTTTGTGTGTTGAGTAGCCCTGATCTAAGGTCAAATCCTGGCTCCAATGAAGTTAATGGCAGAACAGCTCTCCCCCTCATTTCAGAAAGATCAGAATTTCACTTCTTCTGCATTGGTCTCATTTAGAGCTCGATGGAGGCTCAAATAATTACCACTTTGTTCAAAAATAAGTATTTCAGGCTTGTCCAAAAAGAACAGACAACTTTAAAAAAAAAAAAAAAAAAAAAAAAAAAACCTTCTGCAATAATCCCCCCACTACATTTACAAGTATTTCTAAAGTCTTGTGCAACTAAAAGACCAGAGGGAAAAAAATCTGTCCATATTTTTCAGTTTATTTACTTGGTCAATTTGCCAGTACAGGCAGTCCCCGACTTACGCAGATCCGACTTACGTCAGATCCGCACTTACGAACAGGGCTTTCTCGCCCCGGAGCTCGCAGGCAGCGGTCCTGCCACCTCGACCTCCGGGGCGAGAAAAGCTGCTCCCGGTGCCCCTGGTCTGCTGGGGACTGTCTCCAGCAGACCAGGGACACCG